GTTGTGCAGCTTGTGTCTCTGTCCATTACAATACTGTTTGGCTTTTCAATGTTTCCCACTGGTGAACTCCTCTAATTACTGTCATCGATCAACTTCAAACACACACACTCGCACAAAAACACACAAGTACACACACACACACACACACACACACACACACACACACACACACACACACACACATACAGAGAGAGTCTCCTGCTCAGCCACACTGAAAAAAAACTGTCCAAATGTTTGCTGGATCAACGTTTTCATTCACTGGAGGCAGAGCTGAACAGTGTTACCTCTGTGTCTATCTGAAAAACACATAACTGAAATGCTTTTCTTCTATTTATTTATTGCAACTCCACCTTTCCGTGTACAAATGGCTGTTTATAGAGCAGATCATCAGGAGCTACTTCAAAATAATATTAGGTGCCGTGTGACTAAATCCAGGTATATTGTGTTTGGTTGACTCTCATAAATCCCATTCCTGTTTATTACAACCTCAAAACCTCGATAAAGAGGACCAAATCTATCTGTATAGCTATGAACCAATTCAGGGAAGTGAGAAAATATGTTTGAGGGGCTGAACTGACCCTTTAAATACCATGTTCAGTGCAATAAATGGGCATTTGGTGGAAACTGTGGGTGTGATTTAATCTTACCCCCCACAGAACATAGATATCCCCAACAGTCTTAAAAAGAGCCATTAGAACAAAATAAGACTGAACTGAACACAAACTGATGGGATTTTTGTCACAAACTCTAAAATTACTGCTTTCCAAGTGTTCAGTGTCACTGTAATTGCACTGTTCATATTCACCTTCTATTATTTGTCACACTAACAGTTGTAATTGAAAACATTTTAGTTTTTGTGGGCCACAGCGTGTCATTTCAACTAGACAGTATTATTGGCCAAAAACACTTTTCTGTGATACAGGTAATTTAAGCCCGGCTGACCCTGCTGGCCAACCCCTGTCATACGCAGAGAGCTTGTTAAGATTTCTTCTGGTTTTTGGTTTTAGGCAAGGAGTTTATTTATAATACCAAGACTCAAAACTAAATTTCTTCCACTTTCTTACAGATTAACCTTACCTATACAGGTTGTCATGCCTTATGTGTAATTTCACAATCATGCAAAGTAAATGGAGACTGTGTTTTATGAGAATGCACATTTGATTTTGTTATATTTGTTTTGATTTGCTGTCTCATTATGGCAACCTTGGGTTATTCTGTGCTGATAAATTACCACTTTACCCACAATCACTGTACAGAAGCGCTCTTTGGTATTATTGCTGTTAGTGGATCTCAGTCTGCAGAGGTTCTTCTTTCATTATGTTTTATCCACAGAACCGCTTGATAGCTGCACTACATCCCAAAGGTTTTGTTACCTTTAATCAATGGAAACCGCTGGGGGGTGATGGGAGAGGGGGGATGACCTGCAGCAGCAAATTCGAACCCTGGGCTGCTGCAGCAAGGACTCAGCCTTGGTACGTAGGGCGACAGCTCTGCCAGGTGAGCTATGTGTCGCCCTACAATGAATACATTTCCCTTATTTCTTGAATTAAAATAAAAGTGTGTAGTTCCTTCATGCAACACACATAGAAAAATATTATCAAATTCATAGAATAATAAGTAAAATTGAATAAAAATAAAACAATATATAGAGTTATTTATTTGAATTTGCGTCTGGTTGAATGTTAACAGCAGCAACAAGACAGTGATGATAATATGGTTTCATTTTCACATAAAAAGAAACGGTGTCCATCCAGTTTGATTGCATTTGAGCACCAAGCAAAATGCCAGGCTTCTTTACTTCCAGCGTCTCAGATTTTAAGATTTGAATATTTTTTGGTGTTGAACTGTTGGTTGGACAAAACAAGCAACTGGAAGACATCACATTGGGCTCTGTTAACTTGTAGTATGATTTTTTTTACATTTTATTTGTATTTTAAAGCCAGTATGATTCATGTATTAATCTGAGAAATAATAAACAGATTAGGTAATGATGAAAATATTCAATAGTTGCAGCCCTAATCCCTAATATCCAACTTTTTTTCTTTTAAACTGAAGCTGGATTGCTTATTTTTTTAAAAAATACTGAAAATAAAGACTAAAGAGCAAAGAGAATCATTAACTGATAAACCTCGTCCTCTGAAACCACGCATATGCTATCAGATGCTCTTGCTTTTATCTGGGTTGCCTGGGTTGCTGCCTTACTGACAGTTCTGCTGTGTCACTTTCGGGAAGCAGAGAGCTGACTTCATCTGTGATTTCAGTCAGCTCTGCTTTAGTCTCATTTGCTCCTCTGATATTCAGTGCATTCTCTATCTTATTGATTCTTTTTTAAAGACCATTTTCCTTTTCCCAGTCAATTGGCCTATTTTCAACCTTGCTAATTACTTTGACCTTAGTAATTCTATCACCCAGCTCACACTTGGTCACAATTTCAAATTAAAATGACACAATGGTTCCTTTTTGGAGAGCAGACAGTCCTCAGCTTGCCCAGGTCAGCCTTTCAAACGCTTCAGTTACTGGTTAATAAAGCAGAAGGAATATTTGGCTCTTGGTTTTAAGGAAGGCTCAGCACGGAAACTCTGCCAAAAGTGCACGGTGCCATTCGTCAACACAGTGGCCTTGGAGCAGAGAGCAGTTGATATTGTTACCGTTTTGCACTTGTGATTGATCACTGGGGCAGCTGAGTTCAACTCCACTTTGCTCCTTTTCGCTACAGCTCGAGGACTCATGGATTAGGGATTCCAGCTACTCCACCAGTGACCTGCAGACAAGGACTGGTGGCTGTCCAGGTAAGGAAGTAAATTATCTAAATAATATAAAAATATAAATCAGGGTGTGCAGATGTAGCATACTAAACTGATGGGAGGTGGTATAGTAATGCTTTAGTTTTACAATGTGGGATTAAGATTGCAAAAACAGCAATAAAAGAAATGTACAGTAATCAGAATCAGAATCAGAAATACTTTAATAATCCCAGGGGGAAATTATTTTCGTTACAACACTCCAGATGTACAAATGACATATTATACAAACAACATATATATATATACACACACACACAACATTCAGCACAAGAAATATAAATATATATATATAACTACATATATATATATACACAAGATCAAATGTACAGTATTAATGTGCAAAAAGTGCAAAAGAATGATTGTCTATGTTTTGAGTCAGAATTACAGAGGGGGGGTGTCTGACTCTCTGAGGGAGGCGTTGTAGAGATTGATGACCACAGGCAGGAATGATTTCCTGTGGCGCTCTGTAGTGCATCTGGGTGAGAGGAGTCTTCTGCTGAAGGTGCTCCTCTGCTGGGCCAGTGTGTCGTAGAGAGGGTGAGAGACATTGTTCAAGACGGACTGAAGCCTGAATCCTCAGCATCGTCCGGCAGATGTTAAAGGACTTCAGCCTCCTTAGGAAAAAGAGTCGGCTTTGGCCCTTTTTGTAGACAGCCTCAGTGTTTCTAGTCCAGTCCAGCTTATTATTAAAGTACACCCCTAGGTACTTATATTCCTCAACAGTGTCCACAGGGACCCCCTGGATGGAAACAGGGGTCACGGGTGTTTTTGCCCCCCTCAGATCCACTATGAGCTACGTAGTCTTTGTCACATTGAGCTGCAGATGATTCAGTTCAGTCCAAGTAACAAAGTTGCCCACCACAGTCCTGTATTCACTGTCATCACCCTTTTCTCAGTACATTGAAACTTAATGCTACAAGTTGAGATGCAGAACATTAAAAAAAAGCTGAAACTATATGACATTTGAGGCTCATTTTCTTTGTGATTAATGTAAACAATAAAATAAAGAGTTCTTCTTCTTGGTGAGATTAACTGTTACCATGAGATGATTGTTAAATAATATTAAATGTTGTTGTGTTTAAGGAAGACTGGAGAACGTGCTCTATCACCATTATTATGTAATATACAGTAACATAGCAGTCAGTGGTGCTACTACTAACCAATACTCTCTGATCAAAGTATAAAGTAATTATATCTGATTGAAAGGGGTTATTTTTATGTAACAGCCTTTCCATTCAAAACAAAGAGATAAGCTTTAGAAAATGTTCTAAAGAGAATTATTTGTTTTTTTTATGCATTGTTGGTTGTGATGTGAGCATATGTTCACTTTTTGGGTACAACAAATTTTAAAAGCAGAACCAGTCAACAGTCAATACCCCCGCAGGGATATTTAGCCACCTGTTGAGACACAAGTTTTCTCTTTTACAGTAGTAGGTGTGGTGCTTGCCAAATACCAAGACCCACTATTGTAGCAGTGTTGGTGGTTGTTTAGATGATGTCTGAGTTGAAATCCTTCTGCATGTCTTCCACTTAAATTATGTGTTTTTGATATTCAATTAAATAATTGTTATTTTCCAACATCTTAGTTTCAAAGAGGTTTTTGAAAATGAATCAGAATCAGAATAAGGTTTATTGCCAAGTAGGTTTTTACACAATTTGTCTTGGTGTATTTGTGCATAAAATATAAAAGAGAGAAAAAAAGTACTTCTAAAATATAAATAAATAAAGATAAGGATGAGGATAGAAAGATCCAAAACCGTACAGGAAACGGGAGTGCATTAGTGTAATGCATATATACAGGGTGGGTATTAATTAGTGTGAGAATTAGACATAGGACTATGAAAAATTGACTGTGTGAATGTTCATTTTTTCCCCACAGTGTGCACTCTAGCAGCCACTTTGGACTCATCTTAAAGAGATACGCTCTGTAAAGTAAAATGTGTTTACACTGAGTAACAGGAGTGGGAAACCATTAAAGATAAACTTTAAGTCCAGGGTTCTTCATAGTTTGTAGAAGGACGAGCGGGTAGCTAAATGATCAGCTTTTGCTTTAATACAACGTACTGTACATATTTAAAACCCATAAGAACAGAATACAAATTCACAAGCTACACAGACACAATATAACCCTGCAGCGTCTAACTGAACTCCTGTTTACTAACTTACTGGCTGCGGAAGTGCTATGAGCGTGGGGAAACGAGCGCGTGTTGCTGGTTATTGGCTGCAGGAGGCTGCGTCATTTCCTGACAGAGGACGGTCAGAGTGGAGAGAGACGCCACTCTCCACTCTGACGCTGTAGTAACGTCTGGGCAGCAGCGGGTCACCTCAACACAGCAACCGGACGGAGGAGAAAAACAAGAGCAACAGACCGGTTGGAGTACACGTCGCTCGGTCCGTGTAACACTGTTGGAGAGAGATTTTTTGTGAACTTGACGTCGTTCGGAACTAAAACCGAGACCGGAGCAGGACAGCGTGAACTCACCGCCGAGCGGGAACACAAAATAACTTTTTTATTTTCTTTTTCTCCGTTGAGAAAATAGCCTTTTTTTTCTGAGCTGCGTGCGCAACAGTGGACCAAGTACAAGTCGGTCTAAGTTCTGGTGTGTTATTCCGCCTCTGTGGAGCTGTTGGCGGGGAGGAGGACACCAGAGAAGCGGAGGCTCGGCAGCCACCTGACCTCCTGGAAAATAAGACCGCAGCTAATGACACGCAGGCTCAGATCCTTACGTGCCTCATTACTAAGCTCTCTGGCGCGAGGCTGTTGCACGTCCAGTCTTGACTCACCGTTTCGCACGTGAAGTTTACAGAATCCATTTATCGATATTTAAATTATGGTAAGTGCTAATTAATTTGTGTAAACTGTGAAATTGAATTAGTGGGGCTTAATTGCCTGTTGAAGTTGCCCCCTTTCCCCGCTCTATCCAGCACATTGTGAGTAATAAGTGCACCATTTGTCAGAGTCAGACAGCATGGATATAACCCGAGTGCACGTCCTCCAGTGGTCGTGATGCCAAGCGCCGGTCTAATCCCGTGCCACCAGCCCGCCATGCCTGCTCTCTAACCCCGCACCAGTGTGGCGCCGCGTCCCGGTCACACCGCCAGGATGAGCAGCACCGACCTGGAGCGCATGTCGCTCAGCTCCTCGGCCAACTCGGTGGCTTCCAGCGCGCGGACGCTGTCGGCCAACGTGAGGAAGCTGCACAACGCGCTCAACCTCTTGCTCAACGACTTCGAGAGGGAGCAGTTCATCCACTGCCTCAATGTCTACCACTCCAAGCGCAACGTGTACGACCTGGTGCAGACCCTCAACGTCATCCTCAACGCGCCCAGCAAGCGGCAACTTCTGCCCATGCTGCGGCTGGTCATCCCCCGCTCCGACCAGCTTCTCTTTGAGCAGTACACCTCGGAGGGCCTCTACTTAAAATCGGATTTAGTTGCGAGCAACGGCAACGCCGAACCCCCGCCGGGCGACTTCCCCAGCGCCAGCCCGACCCCCACGGGGCATTTCTCGCCCAGCAACCCGCCCGAGTTTCAGGTGGCGTTGCGGGGCTCACCGGACAGCTTCAGCACCAGCAGCGACGGGACAGCTCCCCTGGTGCCGCTGCTCGGGAGGAACTTCGTCCACGAGCCGCCGGGCGAGCTGCGGCAGGTCACCATGAAGCGGCACAAGAGCAACGAGGGCCTGGGCTTCAGTATCCGCGGAGGCTCGGAGCACGGGGTCGGCATCTACGTGTCCCTGGTGGAGCCCGGCAGCTTGGCGGAGAAAGAGGGTCTCCGAATCGGTGACCAGATCATGAAAGTCAACGACAAAGTCTTCGAAAAAGTCACTCATGCTGAAGCGGTAAAGGTGAGTTAATTATCTTCTTTTTTTTTCACTCCGCCAAACCTGCACACGCACAGCTTTTACAGAATGTACACTTGTCCTTTCAGTGGGCTACAGGGTGTAAATTGGCAGCCCTCTGCAATTCACTGAGCTGGCAGATTCATGGGAACTACTTGCGCTGGCCTTGTCATCTATACCTACATCCCCTGTGTATAATAAGCTCCTGCCTCATATGAATGATGTGTCTGGCATCAGTGTCTAAAAGTGACCTCTTGAAGCTAACAAGCCCTGATTTGTTGAGGGGAATTAATTTAGCGGACTGGAAGCAGCCTTGGCCATTTGTTGTATCAGCAAACAACGTGTTGCAGCAGCAGTGTGGTGTAAACTGAACACTCTCCACTACTTCTTCTAGGAAACATTGCGTGTAACGAGACACCTTCAAAGCAGCTGGTAACCACAGAGGGAGTGTGTGCTTGTGTGGAAGGAGCTGGAGGTTGGCCCCAGTGCCCTGAAGCTAAAAACTGAGAGTAAAGACTGGGCCTACTTTAGCCCTGTGCCCTATTGTTAATGCCCCCGAGTGTAAAAAAAAAAGAAGAAGCCTATTAGCAAATGAGGTGATAAAAGAGCATGTCTGATTTGTGCACAGTGAAGATTGATTGAAGAGGAAACCTTGTGAGGTCCTTGATTTTATGAGTCCTATGAGCTGTCTCTGGTGCTGAAAATTCATCTTAGTGTTTTCTTCTCTTTCTCCTAACTGCTTTTGCCTCCTTTTTTTTTCTCTCCTTCACGCTACGCTTTTCTGATCGATTTTCTGATTGCACTCATTCACACCTATTTGCCCATGCTGTATACTCATAACACAGGGATTCATAGTCCTTTTAACAAGGCTGAAGTCAGGTTTAAAGCATCTGAAAAAATTACACTCATGCTCAGTGCTTCTCCTTATTTATATTTTATATTATATATTTGACTTTATTTGAGATGTATTTGAAACTCATATCCATTAAATCATATTAACTGTTACTCTTTCATAGCATATGACCTATAACCGTTTTAGGTCTGTATTGTGTTTATTCTTTTAATCTCAGTGACACTTGTATTTAGGCAAATAAAGTTAAAAGAGATGATTTCACCACTTTGATTGCCATCTATTCAGGCACACGTGGCTTGCACTTACATTGATAGAAGAACTATAAGTTTAAAAGGGCAAAAATACTGCTAAGACAAAGAGGAAGCCACAAAAAGTAGCAGATATCTATAAGCTGCTTTTTTTAGAATAGTGATTGTATGTCTGTGGTTTGAAAGGTCACCGGTTTGTTCCCTCCGACAGCCATGGATTATAGCTCAAATTAAGTCCTTTCTAACCTTCACTGATCTAAAAAAAAAGTCGTCCACGCTTTTATCTCCTCATGTGGACTTTTGTAATTCACTTTATGCAGGGCTCAGCCGTAAGGCAAGCCCCTACCTTCAGTAAATCCAAAATACTGCACCTGCAGGCTTTTAACTAATGCCAAGAGATGAGAACATGTTACCCCTGATCTAGCCTTTATTCACTGGCCGCCTGTATGTTTTGGAATACATTTAAGGCTTTACAGGGTGATGGTCCTGGATAGATTTATAGATAAATATAGATATATTCACCTCCTATCCTGTGGCACAGATCCTCTGGTTGACCTTTATGGTCATCTGGCCTCATTACAGAAACTTCCTAAGTATGAAATCCAGTCTTATCTCAGTTTATGATGACATTTAGGTTTTTTGGTAATACACAAACATGAAAAAAATCCTATTCTGAACAACTGTCCTATCTAAAGAAATTACTAACTTAGGAGGCATAGACCCTGTCTGCTAAACATGGCAGTGCTACTGTTGTTAGGTCTGTATCAGAATGACAATGAATATGGGGAACAACATGAACACCAAAGACTTTTCAAACCATATGATACAGTTCTAGTTAGAATTTCTTAGGTTATGATACAAGGCCTGTGATAGGAGAGGACAAAGAATGTGTTTTCATAGTTTCATTGTTATTTTCTCATTATATTCTGTTATATTTTAAAACACTAACACTGATTTTGTTCAGTGATTTATCTGTAATGCAAAAGTAATGCATAACTCCCTTATATATAATATATGGTTTTCTGTTGATGTGACCAGTAATGATGCATGTTAGAGTAATCTGGTCACTGGTTTCTCTAAATCTGCTCTTCAGACTAAATTCTTTCACAAGACTGCAGCAGAACGTCTCTGCATCTCATATCGAACGTGATCTGAAACTGCATCGGATAGAATACTAATGACAACATTAACTCTGTGTTTTTCTAATCAATTTTCTCCATGTTTTAAAGAAGTCACACGTCTGTGGAGTGGAGGCTATTGATTGCTGTTACTGTAAATGAACAGTTAGAGTGTGTATGTGTGTGTGTGTGTGTGTGTGTGTGTGTGTGGGGGGGGGGGGTCTTCTGTTTTCTTTATTTACACTTGTGTCCTAGTCAGCAAATCCTTATTTCACAATCCTACCACTAAGCTACTACTACTAGTATACTAGTAATAATACTGCTACCACTGCTGCTTGGCTGTTATTAGGCTGACAGGGCAGGCACCCAGCCAACGTGAGAGAAGCCATGTCTCAGATCAAATCCCCTCGGAGGTCATTAATGCTTGAGTTCGGTTATTTTTATGCCTTCTCAGTTTAGTCTAAATGTTATTACAAGCTTTTAGAACTGTAATCATTTTAACCTTTTAAACTCTGCTAGACCTACTAGTGAGTTCATCATTACAGACTCATGCCATGCAACATTTAAATGCTGGTGATGATACCGGATGACATTTATAATATTTCTTCCTGATGCCATAGCATCTTAGGTTTGCACCTAACTCAGTCTGAGCATCGTTTACCTTTTAGTGACTTGTTGGATTTGTTTGTGATGCTGTCCATAATGTGAAAAGTTTTAAGTAAGAGGTTTACAGATATTCAATTTCCACTATGTTATACAACCATTTTTCACTTAAGGGACTATTGAGCTGTTGATTGATTTTAAAAGCACTTACTCCTTGTTTGAACAGCCGAAATACTGAATTTAATCAATCATTGAATCAGTATTACCCTGTCCTTAGACAACAAACCACAACACACTGAACAAACATTTTTAACAGTTAAATTCTAGATTTTGAATACATTTAAGTTCTTCAGTAATTTTATTCATTATAGTTTGTCTAAAAAGAGAATTTTATTAATAAAACCCTCGCTTTTTGGGCATTTTATTGCCTTTATTTAGACAGAGCAGCTTAAGAGTGACGTGAAAGTGGGGAGAGAGGGAATGACATGCAGCAAGGGGCTGCAGGTTGGAGTTTAACCTTGTTTGCTGCGGTAAGGACTCAGCCTTAGTACATGGGGCGCACACTCACCTGGTTAAGCATGCGCCCAGTGTACACCTGGTTGAGGGTTTAGTCGAGCAGAACCCCGTTTAAAGTAATCTTAATGCATTTAAACATTCTATATTCTTAAAGTCTACAACCATATTATGAGTTACCAGCCAAGACTGAAGAGAGCTCAGTGAATTTTAGCTTTTGGCACATCTGACAGATGAAATGTCACCTCTGAATAAGCTGCTGTCTGGACACTCTTGATGAATCCCGTTGTGACAGCAATCACATCTGATCCAGTCTCCTCACCTCAAACTGAACTCTGCTCTCACAGAGTGAGTATCTAAATTCAAAGCTCTACTAATCAGTATTTTTATATTAACATCCAGTCAAATGAATGTGAGTAATGTGAAAGTGGTCATAGTGAAGAACCCAAAGAGAGTTATCACCTGACTCTGCTGCTCCACAAAGCTTTTCATTGGTTCAGTCTCACTGCTCTCATCAGCCCTGTTTCCAGCAGCAGCACACAGCTGTATTTAGTAAACAAGCTCTGAGAAACCCACTCTACTGTACCTGCCCAGCACCAAGTGGCAGACCGACAAAGCTGGATTTGGAAGAAAATGGACCATCTAGCACCTAAAGAACCAGATATGTTTCTTGGGAGTTGGTGGAGACCAACCAGAATAAAGGAGAGGAGTGAACTTCCCTTCATCAGGTGGACAGCACCTAATAATCTTGATGAATCACTGCTGGATGTGTAGGCAGGTAACAAGACAGCTATAAAATCTTCATTCCGTGATAATTGGTCAGAGCTGCTGAGCTTTCACCTATTTTATTAGCCAAAAAACAAGACAACCCAATCTGATCATTTTTTTGAATTAGTGTAGATTCTGCCTGTATTGCTCATTTGCTCAGCCAGAATGTTACGCATACAAATAACAAATGACTAATTCCACACAAACAACAAGGTTGGCTTTAAATAAGTCTTTGCAATGTATTTTGTTTCCAGCACATTACTCATTCACGCTGTTTTCTCCACGCTGTGTACTGTTACTTAGGCTTAATCCGCTCCACTTTAGCAAACCTGTGTTGCCTGATGAGTTCAGGGATGGCCTCTGAAAGCAGTAGATTGTTGTTTGGCCCAGGGGACTCGTCAAGGGCTTACAGCTGTATTTCTCTCTGTCTCTGACTCTCTCCTCTCCCTAAGAGCCTGCTTTGGCCCCGGTCCCTAGAGTCACTGCCAAGGTTAGCTACCCAGTCAGCATTTAGACTTTTCTTTATCATTTTCTCTGTGGTGTGCTGGACAGTCGGGACATGTGACGGGACAGGATTAGGGACATAAATTGTGTTGTTTTGGAGCCAGAGCCACAACAACACAGAGATAAACAGTCTTTATTCTGATTGGTCTCAAGCTTGAGGAGGGTGTGAGAGGGAGAAACAAAGGCAGGATGATGTTGTAGAAGCACAGAGGCAGACACCTAGAGAGAAACAGAGGAAGACACAACACAAGATATCTGGGAATGACCTTGCTGGTTGACATGTTATCCTGTATTCCGTTTGTCTTAACTAATCTTGGAACCCTGTCTACACTAATTCCAAGAAGTAGTTTGGTGTGTTTGGTGTAGTTGATGCTATGACTGTCCTGCAAGGGGACCAGA